ATTCCTAATCCATTCTATTTCATTCTATTCTATTCATATTTTATTCTATTCTATTCCTATTTCATTCTATTCTTTTCTATTTCATTCTATTCTATTCCTATTTCATTCCATTTCTATTTCATTTCATTCCTACTTCATTCTATTCTATTCTATTCTATTCTATTCTTCTATTCCTATTTCATTCCATTCTTACTTCATTCCATTCTATTCTATTCTATTCCTATTTCATTCTATTTCTAATTCAATCTATTCCATTCCAATTTCATTCTATTCTATTGTTCTATTCCTATTTCATTCTATTTCTATTTCTATTCCTATCTCATTCTATTCTATTCCTTCTATTCTTTTCTATTTCATTCTATTCCATTCCTATTCCATTCTATTCTATTCCTATTTCATTCTATTCCATTCCCAATCCATTCTATTTCATTCTATTCTATTCCTATTTTATTCTATTCTATTCCTATTTCATTCTATTCTTTTCTATTTCATTCCATTCCTACTTCATTCTATTCTATTCTATTCCTATTTCATTCCATTCCTACTTCATTCCATTCCATTCCATTCTATTCTATTCCTATTTCATTTTATTCCTATTTCATTCTATTTCTATTCCTATCTCATTCTATTCTATTCCTTTCATTCTATTCTTTATTTCATTCTATTCCATTCCTATTTCATTCTATTCTATTCCTATTTCATTCTATTCCATTCCCAATCCATTCTATTTCATTCTATTCTATTCCTATTTTATTCTATTCTATTCCTATTTCATTCTATTCTTTTCTATTTCATTCTATTCTATTCCTATTTCATTCTACTCCTATTTCATTCTCTTCTATTTCTCTTCCTATTATATTCGATCCTGTTCTATTCCTATTTCATTCTATTCTATTTCTATTCCTATTTCATTCTATTCTATTCTTATTCTCTAAAAGCCAGCTGATGCTAACAGGATCAACCATTTGAAATCAGACAGTGGTAAAATATGACTAATACAGATTTTTTTAATTAAAAAAAACCAGACAGTGATGTTTCTGCTCCCACAATATTTCATCCACTTTCCCTAGATGAATGCCTGGTTTATGACTCTAGCAAAGAGTTTTCCTTTCCCCCGCCGCAAATACTGCTTCCTAAAAATGAGCCCCCATTTCTCTACTCCAGTTCTCCAAATCTGCATTTTTTATTGCTTTGTTCCATCATCTCTGCCCATCGGCTTCGTTCTTGGCCAAAGACCTCCACCGAATCGCCTTCTTTCCCAAAGTAGCGGGAGGGGAGACTTCACTTAACGCCACCCCAAAAACACATCCTGCTATCTGAGGCCGAGATAGCAGGTCTTGATGGGTACTCCTTGACTTACGACCGCAACCAAGCCCAAAATTTCTGACGCTAATCAAGGCAGTCGTTAATAATGTTTCGCTCCATTTCATGACCTTTTTTTTTTTTTTTGCCGGTTAAGCAAATGGCTGCAGTCGTTACGGGAATCGCGAGTCCGTTAAGCCAAGTTGGCTCTCCCCATTTGACTTTGCGTATCAGAAGCCGGCTGGGAAAGTTTTTTAAAAAATGGTAATTACATGACCCGGGGGAAGAGTGCAACTGTCGTAAGTACATGCCAGTTGCCCGCATTTTGATCACGTGACCATGGGGGAATGCAATGGTTGCAAATGCGAAAACTGGTCATAAGTTGAAGATTCCCCGTACAATCTTCCTTCTCCTGCCACTCTCTTTGGCAGCAGTCGTGCCACTTTCAAAATAACTTGGGTCGGCTTTCAGTCGTTGCTTTTAACTTTATTTTACATTTCGCAGTTATCTCAAGACCAAAGAAAACCGCTTTGATGCATGTGCAGGGCTCGCAACCCTTTCATCCCCAGCAGTTGAAGCTCAAACTGTTTTTAAATTTCTTTTTTCTTTTTTTCCCAGGAAGAGCTGCAGGGTTTAACCAAGGCTGCTTTGCAGGTTTTCTTTTAGCTTTTCGGTGGATCAGTTCCGGCTGCCTTTCAGAGTGAAACTCCGGTTCCCACTGTCCCCCTCCCACCCCCTTTGCGACACAGCAAAACAAGATGGTGTCTCGAGAGGATCTGAGTGATGGGGCTGGCTCAAGCTGACCCCGCCCATGCCCCTTCTGCCAATCAATGCTCTTCCCCCGCCCCCCCCCAAATCTTATCAAGGATTGGTTGAAAGCTGGACCCTCTTCAGGGTCCAGATGGGAGGGTTCTGAACGCACAAGCCAGGTAGAGGTATATATAATCTAGAAATCCGGTTGAGAGAATTGTTCTTTAAAACTTCTGCAATCATTAGTACATTTTCTACACCTCCCCTTCTCTCTATCTGTGTGTGTGTGTGTGTGTGTGTGTGTGTGTGTGTGTGTGTGTGTGTGTGTACACACACAGAGGTGGGATTCAAATTTTTTAAGAACTGGCTCTGTGGGTGTGGCTTAGTTGGTGGGTGTGGCTTGGTGGTCATGTGACTGGCTGGGTGTGGCCAACTCAACATCACTCACATCGAGGCACGCATCTCCACGCCTGGCCTCTTGTAACTGTGGGGATGCTGCAACAGTCGTGTGAAAAACGGTCATAAGTCACTTTTTTCAGGGCCATTGTAACTCTGAATGGTCACTCCACACAAAGTACCAGCAAAGAAGGTGAAAAAAACTCCAGAGACGTTCCTGAGACAGGAAGTCTAGTCCTGCCAAGAATGTAATAAGGGTTAATGGAGAGGCAGTTTCTGTAAGCAACACCAGAATGTTTCCTTCCTGCCTTCCTTACAGGATTAGGCCAGTAATTTCTTCTAACAACCAGTTCTCCGAACTGCTTAGAATGTTAACAACCGGTTCTAGCGAATAGATGCGAACCGGTAGAATCCCACCTCTGCACACACATATACATAGTTTCCCCGAAAATACAATCTACCCTGAAAGTAAGTCCTAGCTTGATTTTTACATGTGCACCCAATATAAGCCCTACCTCCAAAATAAACCCGCCCACTCCAGAGTGGACAGGAAAAAATAAGCTAGGTTGGGGATTGTGGGGGTGGAGCTGCCCTACTACTTACCTTTGGACAGTTGAACCCAGGCGTCGCACACCCCGATACCTGCCTTGCCGGCCCATTTCTTCTACAGCCAGAAAGGCTGGCAAGGCTTTCCTGAAGGCCTCTGCAGCTGATGACAAAGCTCCGGATCGATCTGGAGCTCTGTTATCGGCTGCAGAGGCCTTCAGGGAAGCCTTGCCGGTGGCAGAAGTTCCTGAAGGCCTCTGACAGTGAAAAGGAGGCCGGGGTGATGTGCGCAAGTGAGGTTAGTCAGTGCATGACAGCCCCCCAAAATAAGACCTGGTGCCTTTTTTGGTGGCAAAAAAATATGTAAGACAGAGTCTTATCTTTGGGGAAACACAGTATATAAAATTTTCTCTCTCTCTCTCTCTCTCTCTCTCACACACACACACACAGAGAGAGAGAGAGAGAGAGAAGGGGAGGTGTAGAAAAAGTACTAATTATTGCAGTTCTGTCACTGGAAGATAAACTTCCTCTCCTTCTTTGCAGAATCTCCCATGTCTGGTAACTGCTTTCAACTTCACAGCCGTCCTTCTTGGGGGCCTCCCTCATACAGGTAGTCCTTGACTTACAACCACAGCGGGGCCTCAAATTTATGTTGCTAAGCAAAACACATAACTTTGTTAGGATAACTGTCAAGCCTGAAATTGACATATGTGTAGTCATTTTAGTTAGGCTTAGTATATACTGTATTCTTTTTCTTACTTTCTCTGTGGCAGTCATGGGAGGAAGCATTTGGGGCTTGCCACATTCCTAAGGCGGGGAGCAGTAGAGATAGAAATTGCTTAAGCTATGTGATTCTTCTTCCCGTGGGAAAATGAGCTGTCCGTGCTTAGGCCCTTGAAGTGGAGATTTATGACATCAAGCAATGTTGAGTTACTTCTATTGGAGAATGTGACTTTTGGGTTGTTTCTAACTTTTAATATTGTGGGGTAATTCCGGGTTGTGTCAGATCCGGAATTACCATGGACTTTGCCAATTTGATGCTTTCCTAAATAAAATAAAATGTTTTGGAAGATGGACTTTGTTCTTTTCTTTTAAAATGGATTTCAGCACTTGGAAACCCGATAATAACCTTGTTAAATGAATTCTGCCCCATTTTATGACCTTTCTTGCCATACTCGCTAAGTGAATCCTTTCGGTTGTTAAGTTCGTAACACAGACGTTAAGAAAACCTGGTTTCCCCACGGTCTTTGCTTGTCAGAAGGTCTCGAAATGGGATTGTGCGAGCCCTGGGATGCCGCCACTGTCACAAATATGAGTCAGCGGCCAAGCGGTTAAATCTTGATCAAGTGATTGCAGGGATGCCATAATGGTCGTGTGAAAAATGGTCCTAAGTCACTTTTTTCGGTGCCATTGTAACTTTAAGTGGTCACTAAATGAACTGTTGTAAGTCAAGGACTACCTGTAGTAGCCCTTTGATGCAAAGACCACCCAAACCATTTTCAAAATCCAAAGATTTCAAATTGTGCCCTTCTGAGGGGAAGGGGGGTTGTTTTGGCTTCCCATCCATACAAGGTTAAAAGGTGTCTACTCCTTTGGAGGGTTTCCCCCTTTTCAGAGCAGATGTCAAACCCTGAAACGGGATTTGCCATATCTGCGGGAGTTGGGTGGTGGGAGGAACTTCCCAAAGGCCATCAGACCTGCGAGTATTGGAGGCTGCAAGCGACGTGCAATGCAGAAGCGACGAACAACTGATTCCGACTGACTGCAAACCAGCTGATCAGCTGATCAGCTGATCAGGTTGCCTGCAAGCCGGCCGATGAGCAGCTGATCATGGTTGCCTGAACCCGGCTGGTGATCAGCTGATCACGGTTGCCTGAAGGCTGGCCGATGAGCAACTGATCGTGGTTGCCTGCAAGCCGGCAGGTGAGCAGTTGATCGTGATTGCCTGTAAGCCGGCTGACAATCAGCTGATGATGGTTGCCTGCAAGCTGGCTGACAATCAGCTGATGATGGTTGCCTGCAAGCCGGCTGATGAGCAGCTGATCGTGGTTGCCTGCAAGCTGGCTGACGATCAGCTAGTTGTGGTTGCCTGTAAGCTGGCCAATGAGCAGCTGATTGTCAGCCGGCTTCCAGTCAGTCAGAATCAGCTGTTTGGCTTAATAAACCATTGGGAACCCAGAGTGAGTGGTGTCCTGATTTTGGTTTAGGTCCAGAGCTAGAATTGCTTCCCCTTCAAAACTAGACCAAGTTGATCACTCGGCTTTCGCAATCGATGCATTTATAGGGTTGGTCCCCCGTATAGCGATTTCGGTAGGTGGGAAGGTTATCGCTGACCACAAAGCTTTTCCCGCACTCCGCGCAGATGTAGGCCTGCTCCCCTGGGTGATCCCGCTGGTGCCTATCAAGGCTGCCCTTACGACTGTAGCTCCTCCCGCAGTTCATACACCTGAAGGGTTTCTCCCCCGTGTGGGTTCTCTGATGCGTGGTCAGGATGGACTTCAGGCTGAAATACTTGCCGCATTCCAGGCACTGATAAGGTTTCTCCCCTGTGTGGGTTCTCTTGTGCCTCTTGAGGCTGCCGCTCCGATTGAAGCGTATCCCGCACTCAGTGCATTTGTACGGTTTCTCCCCCGTGTGGGTTCTTTGATGCGCGGTCAGAGTCCCGCTGTCGCTGAAGCTCTTTCCGCACTCAGTACATCGATACGGCTTCTCCCCCGTGTGGGTCACCCGGTGACGGTTGAAGTCGGATTTATATTTGCATATCTTCCCACACACGGGGCACTGGATCCTCCACTTCCCTTGGTGGCCCTCCTGCGGGACTAGGAGGTCGTGGATGTCGGCATCCTGAAAGGTGGAAAGTTTCTTCTCGCTCTCTGATGGTCTGGGAGGGTCTTTTGGACTTGGGAAGGCCTCTTTTCCTGCTTCAGGGCTGGTCGTTTCTGAAGACTCCACAGACGATTCTTCGTAACTTTCAGCGTCCTGCCAATCACCTGGGAAAAGGGAAGGAAAAGAAAAAGCAAGAGAGGGAAAGGGAAGGGGAGGGGAAGGGAAGGGAAGAGAGGGGAAGGGAACAGGAAATGAAAAGGGGAAAGGAAAGAAGGGAGGGAGGGAGGCAGAAAGTCTTAAAAGTTTATCTTTAACAGGTTCTCTCTCAAGAAAAAACTAGGTTATCTGCTAAATTACTTCCAACATATTTGCAGTCTATTTCTCATATAACCATACCAGTAGTCCTCAACTTACCACAGTTCATTACAATGGCGCTGGGAAAAAAAGGGACTTTTTCACACAGTGAAGGGCTCTCCTCACTTTGTCGGTAAAACATAAAGTCAACACAAAAGTAGTCTGTCGCGAAAGCGACTGCCTGCGAAGGCTCCTGGATTGGGGCTGAAAGGTGAAAGAGGAAGCAGTAGGCTCCATCCCATCATTGGGTAGACCAGGTTGCCCTGATGAGAAACACTTAATCTTTCCTCTGGTATAGCTGACAAAGTGAGGAGAGCCCGTGGCTTAGAGGTTAATACATCTACGTAATATGCAAGTAGCCTGGATTCAAAGGGTATGGCTAGCTGATGTAGAGCTAAATAGCTTCAAATAGTTTTATACTAAAAAAGTAAAGTTTCCCCTCGCACATACGTGCTAGCCGTTTCCGGCTCTAGGAGGCGGTGCTCATCTCCGTTATAAAGCCGAAGAACCAGTGCTGTCCGAAGATGTCTCCATGGTCATGTGGTTGGCATGACTAAACGCTGAAGGCGCACGGAAGGCTGTTACCTTCCCACCAAAGTGGGCCCTATTTTTCTACTTGCATTTTTTTAATGTGCTTTCGAACTGCTAGGTTGGCAGAAGCTGGGACAACGAATGGGAGCTCACTCCATTACGCATCGCTAGGGATTCGAACTGCCGACCTGCTGACTTTTCTGATCGATAAGCTCAGCGTCTTAGCCACTGAGCCATTGTGTCTCATTAGATCTATACTAGTCTCCCTTTATTTCTTTGTCAGTAAAACATAAATTCGATCTGAGAAACGCTGCTTTTCATACTGCACAAGGACAAACAGGAGTTCTTCACCTCAACGTCCAAAAGTTGTGCAAGAAGCATCCTTACCCACAGAAGTGACAGTTTCATTGCTCTCCAACATGATTTCCTTCCGTTAAGAGACCCTCTTTATTTTGAAGGACAACAAATTTCTTCCGCTGCTAAGATCACCAGCCTCTAAAAAGAGAGGGGAAATCAGTTATCTCCCCAGTATTGGACCAGGACACCCCTCTGTCTCAGCCTATCTCAGAATTTTTTTCTAGGCAGGTGGTGTGATGACCCAGGGCATGGCACAAAAGCAACAAAGCACAAAAGTAGGTAAAGTCCTTTTAATTCCTCCAACTTGTCCCCCAATGTCCAGTTATCATCGGCTGAAGAAAAAACTCTCCCAAGAACAGTTTTTAAAGGGAAGAAATTCAGTCCAAACTCAAAGCATGTATAAATTATAAATACATACCAACACAAACTATGTTGCAGCAATTAACGAGACAGGGCAGGATAAGGAATTGCAGACTTCAAAAGATAATGAAACACACACAGTTGGGAATATGCCAGAACCCAGATAGGACTTAACAAATCAAAATAATGCACGCTTTGCTTCCAGCAAGGTGTGCACAAACCCACTTTTTCAATCCTGTTTCCCCAGCTGCAGCTAATGGAGGGAATCAGGGCCCTTTTCTCCTCTGTAACCCATGTTGCTCCCTTCTCTGTTCCTCCCTGCATGCCCTCGGATGAAGAGAGGGTGGGCCTGGTTCTTCCTCTGAATGCCTAGCCAGACTGTGCCCTTCCCCAGTTTCCCCCACAGCCACCAGAGCCACACTCCCACTCCCTGTCAGCTGTTCCACCTCCCCCTCAGAATCAGATTCCAACAGGGGCATGACATTTCCAAGAAAGTCTGTACTTTAACTAGCAGAGCTTCCAAGCATTTTAGTATAAAGGTTGATAGCTTCCCGTTTAGCTTCCCAGCTTTCCAATTTTTTTTTAATTCACAGGATGTTTATAACCTCAAATTGAGGTGTCTATAGAGACTCTCAGTCATCCAGGTCATGATTGCACCAAAGGTGCTTTTTTTCAAGAGGCAACTGGACTTTCTGGTTTTTCTTTGAAGATGTTTTGAAGCTTCTTCTTGGGTGAGAGGCAAAACATCTTCAAAAGAAAAACCAGAAAGTCCGGTTGCCTCTTGAAAAAAGCACCTTTGAGATGAACAAATTGAGATTACTGGGAATCAAGCAAAAAGTCTCTAATCAGGATATTGTCGATTTTTCAAAGTTATGAGTGTTGCCGCATCCCTGTGTTCACGGGATGTACATTCAAAATGGTTGACAACTGACTCACATTTATGACGGTTTGCAGTGCCTTGGGGGTCATATGATCCCCTTTTGCAACCTTCTGACAAGCCAAGTCAATGGGGAAGCCAGATTTCCACAACAACCGTGTTGCTAATTTAACAACTGCAGTGATTCATTTACGTGGCAAGATATATGGTAAAAATGGGGCAAAACTCACTTAACAAATTTCTAACTTGGCCACCTAAATTTTGGGCTCAATTGTGGTCGTACATTGAGGACTACCTGTACTTGGGAGGGAGATTTTAAATGCTACTGAAGGTTAGGAAAAGAACACATCCTAACACTAAGAGCTGGGTGCTTGTTGTGCCATCTGGTGAGCTCTGCTGATAGATGGTAGAGGGCTAATCCTATTATGTCCCAAGGGGTCATGTCTTAATCCCATCACCCTGCAGCTCAAGATCTTTTGTCTTGTAGACAGGATAGCCCAGGGGTCCCCAACCACCGGTCCCGGACTGGTCCGTGGATCATTTTTTACCAGGCCGCAAAGCTTGGGTGCCGCCATCTTGTTTCGACGGTGCTTCCGGGTTTTCAGTTGCTTCTGGGTTTTCGGTTGGAAAGTGCTTCCGGGTTTTCAGTTGGAAAGCGGCATTTGGGTGCTTGAGCCTTAGTTTCGTCGAGGCGGGGTCGGCTTCGAACAAAGAGCCGTCCCGATGGTGGTGGAGTCTCGCGTTACTCAGGTACTGGTCCGTGGAAGAATAAATAATTGTGAAACCGGTCCCTGGTTCAAAAAAGGTTGGGGGCCACTGGGATAGCCCAGTCCTGCTGGGGCTATTAAGAAAGGTGGGGGCTGCACGTTTCTCCTTTAGGGAAATATAATATTCTGCCTTTTTAATATTTCTCAAAATGCTTCGTTCTTCTAGGAGAGGGGTGGGTGTTAACTTTCTACATACCTTTGCATGGAGGCTTTTCTTCAATACTGCAAGATCAATAAAATGCGAGGGTCCTGTAGGAAGGGTGGGGGGAAATCACACTGTTATTCTAAAATAAATTATTCTGAAATATGCCTATAGAGTCCTCTCACTTCTTGTTCACTCCAAGTGAAATCAGAGCAAATACGTTGTCACAAGCTGGCTCAACTGTGGTCGTAAGTCGAGGACTATCTATCTATCTATCTATCTATCTATCTATCTATCTATCTATCTATCTATCTACACATGCATGCATATAGGTGAGCACGTCCACACACACACACACACAAGGCTTTAGGGTAATAGATTTAATCGTTTAATCTTCTGTTTTAATCTTCCGATTTACTCCACTGGTCCCCCCGCTTTGCAACTGCTTGCATTACCCTTTGCCTGTATTAATGGCAGAAGATTGGGGAGGGAATTCTTCTGTTTACAACCTGCCTCCCCCAAAAAGCAGATTTCGTTTCCAATCCCATCCTGACCTCGCTTGCCGAAGGGATCCATTCATTGTTTTCGTCCTCCCCCAATTTTATCCCCCCCACCTCCACCTACCCTTCCGCCCCGCTCGGCCTCTTTTTTCCCCCACCGGCCCACTTTTCCAGCAACACCAAGACAGGTTGTGTGCGGGTTCTTCTCGTCCCCCGCATTGCCCGTTTCCTGCCCCTCTAGGAATCCCCGCCTTTCCTTTCCTTTTAAATCGCTAACAGCCGTTCTCCATCGCCGCCCTTCCTTTTGCTGCAAGATTCCTTCTTTCTCCGCTCTTCTTGCATTCGACCTAATCAGGATAGTGGCGATCAAAGGTCTGGAGGTTTTTGGTTTTATTTTTTAAATTATTTAACGAAATAACAGAGTTGGAAGGGACCTTGGAGGTCTTCTAGTCCAACCCGCTGCTTCAAGGCAGGAAACCCTTATACAGCTAGCCCTCGAGTTACGACCCCAATCCTGAGCCCAAAAATTGATGCTGCTAAGTGAAATGTATGTTTAAATGAGTTTTGCCCCGTTTTACCAACTTTTTGTAGCCACAGTTGTTAAGTGAAGCATTCCATTAACACAGTTGTTAAGTGAATGTGGCTTCCCTCATTGACTTTGCTGATCAGAGGGTCGCAAAAGCGGATTACGGGGAACACCCCCCCACCCGCTCCCAGGACATGGCAGCCCTCATAAAGTACGAGTCGTTTGCCAAGCATTTGAATAGAAAAGAAATAGAAAGAAAGAAAGAAAGAAAGAAAGAAAGAAAGAAAGAAAGAAAGAAAGAAAGAAAGAAAGAAAGAAAGAAAATACTTTATTGGCCAAGTGTGATTGGACACACAAGGAATTTGTCTTGGTGTAAATACTCTCAGTATACATAAAAGAAAAGATACATTCGTCAGGAGTCAAGAATCATCAGGTACAACTATCATTGTCACAGGGTTACAATAAGCAATCAAATCATACTAAAACAGCCAATAGAGATCATGAGGATACAAGCGACAAAGTTACAGTCATACAGTCACAATTGGGATGGGTGATAAGGAATGATGAGAAGATTAATAGTAATAATAGTGCAGACTTTGTAAATAGTTGGACAGTGTTGAGGAAATTATTTGTTTAGCAGAGTGATGGCATTCGGGGGGGAAAAAACTGTCCTCGTCTCTAGTTGTTGTGGTGTGCAGTGCTCTATAGCGTCGTTTTGAGGAAAGGAGTTGAAACAGTTTATGTCCGGGATGTGAGCGGTCTATAAATATTTTCACAGCCCTCTTTTTGACTAGTGCAGTGTACTGGTCCTTGATTGAAGGCAGGTGGGTAGTCATTGTTTTTTCTGCAGTCCTAATCACTCTCAGTTGTGAGCATGGGGGTGCTGCAACCATCCTAAATATGGATTTTGATCGTGTGGCCATGGGGATGGCACAACGGTCGTGAGTATGAAAAACAGTCAAAAGTCACTTTTTTCCAGTGCCGTCGTAACTTGGAACAACGGTCACTCAATGAACTGTTATAAGTCTAGGACTACCTGTACCCTTTTAGACAAATGGTTGTCCATTTCCCTCTTCTGCGGTTGGAAGGGACAAAATAGAAATGGTGAAGTTTGGCAAAGACTTGAAAGTCTTCTAACGTTTGCAAAGGTGACAGAATACCAGGTAGTCCTCGACTTACGATGATGATTGAGCCCACAATTTCTGTCGCTAAGTGAAACATTTGTTAAGTGAATTTTGCTCCATTTTATGACCCTCCCACGGTTGTTAAGTGAAGTATTACAAGTTAGTAACACAGTTGTTCAGTGAATATGCCTTCCCCATTGACTTTGCTTGTCAGAAGGTTACAAAATGGGATCCTATGAGCCTGGGACATTACAGTGGTCATAAATATGAACCCATTGCCAAGCATCTGAATGTTGATCCCATGACCACGGGGATCAGGGGTAGGATTCAACCGATGTTGCTACCGGTTCGGTGAGAGTGCCACTCCTGGTTCGAATCCCTAACACCACGTATCGGAGTGAGCTCCCGTTACTTGTCCCAGCTTCTGCCAACCTAGAAGTTCGAAAGCATGTAAAAATGCAAATAGAAAAATAAGGACCACATTGGTGGGAAGGTAACAGCGTTCCACGCGCTGTTGGCGTTTAGTCATGCCAGCCACATGACAAGGGAGATGTCTTTGGACAGCAGTGTCTCTTTGGCTTTGTCATAGAGATGATGTGGGGTGGGATTCAAATTTCTTAACAACCGGTTCTGTGGGTGTGGCCTAATTTGTGGGTGTGGCTTGGTGGTCATGTGACTGGGTGGGCATGGTTTGTATGTAAATATTATAAATATTTATATAAATATTGAATTTTTTATTTAAAAAAGAGCAACTTTTACCCAAAATCAGGCAAAGCAGGCAGATTGAGTTGCTTACAGAATCACAGATTCTTTCAGAGATCTATCTTTCTGACATCGGCTACCTGAGTCTGTCGCATAAAATTAGCTTGCAAGCAAACTCATAAAATTTGCTAGCAAGCACTCACAAAATTAACTCACAACACACCATGTATGTAAATATTGAATTTTTAATTAAAAAAAAAGAGAAACTTTTAACCAAAATTAGGCAAAGCAGGCAGGCAGATTGAGTTGTTCACAGAATTGGGGTGGGGCCAGCCAGTGGCGCTATTTGCCGATTCTCAGGCAGGTAGAATCCCACCCCTGGTGAGAGTATGTTTTTCGCACATGTATAGACCATTTCCAAAAAAAACCTCAGCTGTGCCGCCCGGACAGCTGACAGGCACTGCACGCAGGTGCGCAGCATTTGAAAATCTTCTTCTTTCCTGCTTTTTCGATCTCAGCTGTGCCACGCAAAGTAGCTGAGGTTGGAACAAAGCAGGAAATAAAGAACAGCCAAGAGCTTGGGCAGGTGGGTAGGCCAAACAAACGACCAAAAGGTTGTTGCAGAGAACTGGTTCGGTGTTTGCTGCTCTTCAGAGCTACCGGTTCTATAGAACCGGGCCGAACTGGCAGCATCCCACCCCTGATGGGGATGCTATAACAGTCGTAAGTATGAAAACCCCTCATAAGTCGCTTCTTTCATTGCCGTAGTACTTTCGAAAGGTCACGAAATGAACTGTTGCAAACTGAGGACTAGTAACACAGTTGTTCAGTGAATCCCCATTGACTTTGCTTGTTAGGTGGTTACAAAAGGGGACCCCAGGACACAGAAAACATCATAAATATGAGTCATTTGCTAAGTGTCTGAATTTTGATCCTGTGACCATGGGGATGATGCTGCAATGGTTGTTAAGAATGAAAAGTGGTCCTAAGTCACTACTTTCAGTGCCATCGTAACTTCAAATGGTCACTAAGTGAATTGTTATAAGTGGAGGACTACCTGTAACAGAGCTGGAAGGGACCTTGGAGGTCTTCTAGTCCAGCCCCCTGCTTAAGCAAGAAACCTTATAACATTTCAGACAGGTGGTAGTCAGTGGTTTCAGACAGTCTCTTCTTGAAAGCCTCCATTTTATGAAGCACCTACAACTTCTGGTGGCAAGTCCTTTCACTGGTTAATTGTTCTCACCATCAAGAATTTTTTTCCTTAGTTCTAGGTTGCTTCTCTCCTTGATCAGTTTCCATCCCTTATTTCTTGATAAAATATAAATGCACTAGCTCTATACCCGTGCTTTGCTACGAAACTATGTGATCAGGCTTAGTTTCTGTGGAGAAAAATATGGGGGAAGAAATTTTGCCTCTGCCTACCAGCATCCATCGGTATTCATCTGACTAACATCCTGTCAGTGGTGTGAGAGTTGAGGGCTGTTTGGAAACTGAAACAGTATTTGTGTGTGAGCAGAGACAGCAAGGAGCCTGAGCGTGGCTTAGCTCAACTGTTCTGTACTAAACTGCTTGGTGCTGTGAAGCTAAAACTGAAGCTCTTCTCCTGTTCTTGTATTTTGCATTTGGAACAGATTTCTTGTCAGGTGGGGAGGGGGAATAGAACTCCTTAGTGTTAATAATAATATACAAAATCCTAATGCTCTGATGGTCGTTTCGAAAAATCCTTTCCTAGTGAGCACCTAGAAGCCAAGAGGAACATAGGTGCCAAATTTCAAGTTTGTAGGCTTTAGGGTTCTGGAGATTTCTTGATGATGCATGAGTGGTATTTTGCTTTTATAGATATAGATTTAGAACGGCGGTAAGGTTAAAAAAAAAAGTTGCTTCTTGATTTTTTTTTCTTTATTTTTAATTCGTTTCTATTTACTGGCTATTTTTTTAAACTTTATTTACTTTTTATTTTTTTTACTTTGCAAAAACTTTCTATCGCTTGATTGACAGGGACCTCAAATGCGAGCGCAGATGTGCACAAAAAAATCTCATCTTGTCGCTTGGCAACGCCCTTAACCCTTGGCCTCCGGCCGCCTTTGCAACGAAAAGGAAGGCGAAACTCCTTCCTTGTCCGTTGCACGGAACGAAAAATAAATAAGGCTTTTTTTCCCTTTTCTTTCCAAAAAAGCAGCCGACGTGGGTTGCGGCGGTCCAGGATAATGGGAAAGCCGCAGTCTTTTTTTTTTTTTTTTTTAAGGCCGCTCGCGCCCGCTGTCTGGGGGAGCCAAGGGTTAAAGCGAGAGAGTTTGTCGCTTCCTAGAGAGGGCCTTTTTTCCCGCCGTCCGTCCGTCCCCCGCCCACGTCGACGGGGGCGGAAATGGGAATGGGGCTCAGTCGTTTCCGGCCCCCTCCGCTTTTGGCCGAAGGAAAAAAGAGACCGTTTGCGTTTGGCGCGTGCGACGTCGTTGGGGGCTCCCCCGCGTGACGGTAGGTGGGCGAATGGGCGACGGGCCGCCTCTGAAGAGAAGCTCGCGTGGCGGGAGGGGGAGGGGTGGGCGAAGGTTCGGTGGAAGCTGCGCTGGGCTGGGCTGAGGGGAGAAGGAACCGCCGCGGACCCCTCGTTGGGGTAGTATCACCTCGTGGTTATGGAGCCGGGCTCTCTTTATTTCCCCCCCGCCCACCTGGCGTTCAGCATCTCCTCCCTGTGGCTGCGCCTTGCATTCCGACGGTCCACTAGGGATAGGGATATAGAATAGGAAATAGAGATAGGATAGGGATATAGAAAATAGAACAGGGA